TAAAAATATAAGATATGATAAGATTATAATGTTATTGGGTTATCACTAATCCCAAAATGATATCATTTAAATGGAATCCATTAGAATGCTATTATAAATAAATTTCGGAATAATAACTGCGATTAAAAAGAGTGGCTGAGACTTGCAAGTTCTCAGCCGCTCGACGATCTTGAGATCTTTAATTGTGTTTAATATTGACGTTCATAAATATACATTATACACCAATAGGAATATATAGCTATACTTATAGAGAAGCCCGGCTACACTGTAAAACTGTAATTATTTATTTAATAAAACCAATTTACTAAGATTTAAAAAAAAGTTAAATTGGTTGTAATTTGTAAATATGTATTTAAATTTAAGACCAATAATAAAATTGAGAGGTGTAATGGTTTTTTAAAGCTTAGCCGGGCTTCACGGTAAAATTCTATTCTTTTAATAAAACTAATAATTCTAAGATTAAAAAGCTTAAAATGGATACAATTTATTCATATAGCTAATATGATGATACGTCAATCATAAATTTAAATGAGGGCCTAGTTTACTGCTTTTCTCTTTAATCAGCAATTATTTTATTTTACAACATTTCACCATGCCCTATCCGATTTTCATGAGTTTTGAATTAATATGAATCAAATCTTTAAACAATCTGAATTAATTGATTGAATGTTTAGTATCTATCAGCAGTAGGCATCGCAAAGTAGAATCACGCAATTATTTTTTTATAAATATGTAGTCTCTGTGCTAAAAATCATTTAACATTACGACTAGACTAATTAAGTTAAGTTTAATCTAATTTACTAATAGGATATTTAATAACACCACTTACAGTGTCTATTGGGGAGAAGACACTCTCATATACACGTATGAATATAATTATATTATATCATAATAAGAGCAGTGTTGGCCTAGTGGCTTAAGCGCCCCTTGTTACTGGGGTCGTGCGTTCGAATCAGCTCTGCATACCAATGGAATTTTATTTCTATCTGCGCAATTAGTTAGCTCCTACGTTAAACGCAGACATCTCAAGCCTAGATATCGACAACATATCTCGGACACAGAAGGAAACTCCCACTACATTATTATAAATTGTAACGTATTTCATACAAACAAAACGATACGATGTTTTTGAGAAAAAGTTTGGTACAAATTTATTTTTGCTGTTTTAAACAGCGTGATTGCAATATTAATTACGGGAATTTATTTCTAATGAATGAATGTAAATAGTAAAATTACGTTACAAAATCGTGAATTTCATTTCTATTTGCAGATACTTCTTCATTCAACACAGAAAAGCTGTGTCTACGGCACGAAAGCTCGCTTTAGAAAATCAAGAGAAAAATGATGCAGAAACGGAAAGTGTTCCGGAAAAAACAGAAAAATCATATCTACCAGATAATATAAAGCCCACGGAATTGACTGAAAAGACTAAATTATAGAACTCACTATTAAAATAGATTAGTGAATATGTATTGTAAGTTTTGTAATAATTTGTAAATATTTAATTTTAAGACTTTAGTTATAAAATTTGGAGGTGTCATTGTTTATTTTGAATAGTAATTAAATAAATTTCCCTTTTAATTTTTTACTCTAAATGGCGAAGAATCTCATTAAAAAAGTACATAGCGAGAGAAGTAATTTAAATTAATCTTTAATATATTGTTTCGATCGCTTGTTCTATCCTTTGCCTGATAACTCAGTACCGGATTAAATAAATCATTAATCATTGTATAGTCAAAGTTTTTTTAAGAGCGTACCAATTTTTAAAAAGCCCGCAACCCACTTGCGAGCTTTCTGGTATTGTAAGTGTCCACGGGTAATTAACATCAAATGTGCCTCCTGCCCGTTTTGCCCCTATTTTAAAAAAATATTTCATAGTCAGTTACTATGTTATTAAATATAATAAAACCCCTTAAGAAACATTTATTGCCCACTAAAACACTCAGATTCAAAGTATAACCGCTAAGTGTTATGCTCGTATGTAAAAAACGTATTATTCGGAATACGGGAGTCATATTTAGCATTCCGTACTGCAGATGTATTTAGATATATATATATCGAATAAATTCCGTTAAATAGAACTGATTCAAATAGCAAACATGTTTAGGAGCATTTTACGGTTGAGCCACTAAAACTGCTGCAACGGCTGCTGCAACTGCAACCAAAACCAGGGCATGATGATCTTGGCATCGAACACATATTGCACGTCAGCCGGGACTTGCCTAGAGTGTTCTGTTTTTTACATTTTGCATTGGGCACTCCTACCTTCCTTCTGGATGTATGAAAACGGCTGTTGTACCAGTAATCAAAAATGACACGGGAGCTTCGTCGGAAGTTAATAATTATTAACTTATTTCATTAACTATAATAGCAAAGGCACTTGTGCAAGCACGTGGCTATAGATGACACCCATTTCGGTTTTAGGCATCCGGCTTATCTACGGAAAATGCATTTTTCTATCTCAAACTGATTGCTGAGTATTATACTTCGCGAAGTATCGGCTTTTCCGTGCTTTCTGGATTTGTCTAAAGCGTTTGACTTAGTTTCTTATGCCCTTCACTGTCATAAATTAACCGGAGGCAATTGTGAGAGTATTTGACTATTGGTACTATAACCAAGTGAATTGTGTAAGATGGAGAAAAGTTGAATCCGCGACATTTGGTATGGGGTGTGGAGTAAGACAGGGTGGGTCCGCGGCCCCTTGACTATTCAATCTCTATGTCAACGACTTTTTAAGCTCCTTAGGGATCGTGGTGTGGGCTATTCAGTAGGTAGCACATTTCTCAATAATAATAATTACGCAGACTATATGGTTCTATCGACCCCTTTAGTAGGCGCCATCAAAAAGCTTTTAAAGATGTGTGAAGAGTTTGCGGCAGCTCATGGACTCAAGGATAAAAGTAATATATTAGTATTTCAGTCGCGCTATAATAAAGTTGATATAGTTAAACCAGTGATGCTTAACGATGTGCCATTGAGTGACGGAATATAAGTATTTGGGTCATTGGCTTGCGGAGGATTTGTCTGATGGCACTGATCTGGAGCGAGAAAGAAGAGCGTTAGCGGTAAAGGGTAATAACCTGGCCCGGAGGTTTGCGCGTAGCTCACCAGAAGTCAAAGTTATTATTTGCGTAATTTTATTGGCGCAGCCTAAGAACAAGTTTTGCCCAGAAGGCGTTGAATACGCATATAGGCGTATTTAATGTAACAAAACGTTTAGGTTGTTATTGGGCTTGCCGAGGTATGTTTGCCAAGACTCGAACTGCCATTTGGAAAAGCATGCTGACATCCTTGATGCATCAGGAGGCATAGTACCAATGGTATGCTGAATGTGTTGGTCGTAAAGATCACGCATATCTTAAAACGTTGGTATCCTGTCCATGCTCCACTATTGGAGTTTTTTTTATTTTTTTTTTTTAGTTTACAAACCAATACTTATTTATTTATTTATACTTCATTGCCATAATACAGATAATTATACATACAAAAAAAACAAAAAGTGAGTAGGTTACATAAGTTATTAGGCAACGGGCGGCCTTATCGCTAACAAGCGATTTCTTCCAGGCAACCCTAATAAGAAACAATAAAAAAAAGAAACACCTACAGAGGGTAAAGTACAAGAAATGCATAATTAATTAACAAAAAGATACTAAAAATAACGTGCAACTATAACTAAAATTAAATAAAATAAAATCTAAAAAAAATATAAGTAATAGTATTTAAAAACAGACATGTAAAATACTACGCAACTTAGAGCGAATTGTTACTAACAGTAACGAAATAAATAAATTAAAATAAGTATGAATAATATATAACATAGTAATATTTACTTGAGGATTGATCAACTTTGTACTGTTTATCTTGACAATAAGTGAGAACACGTGGAACATATAATTTATGATATATACATATATTATATGCATTCTGTGTCATATACCATAAGTTGTTAGGTTTAGTCATACAGGGTTCCTCACAATGTTGGCGTCTTCGTTTGAGCAAGTGTTCAATTATAGAATTCTTAAAATGAAAAATTCGTAAGTGCACGACCTCAGGGGTCGTCCGTTCAATTGCCATGGCGTTGAAAATATTGAAGCATACCTGAAATAATACTTCACTATACAATGTATACATAATACATAATATACTACATTTTATGTTTATACATAAACAAATTTAAATAAAACAGGAAGGGATGGAGGATGGCCTTTTGGAATACGATGCATGCATAGCTATGGTTATTATCAGTTATATCTATCGAATACACCTAACACGAAAAACTATAGTTTAGAAGATGCAATAAGGACTTTTTGTCTCTGCCCCATTACGTTAAAAGAGCGCGACTATATAGAACGTGAAGAGCAATAATAATCTTACACAATCTATACATGCTTTCGGTAAATGACCGCCCGTTCTTTTGACTTCTGTGTTGCCAACTACATTTCTTTAATACTCGTCACGTCTAGGCAATCTATGGATGAAAAATAGTGTAGATAGAATGTACATTATTTATTTTCATATTGTAAGGGTATGTAGACGCAAATTATAAATTAAAGTTTTATGTATAACAAAAATATATCCTATTATTCAAATAAAAAATACATGCATTTTTACTATTATTAATTTTTTTAAGTAGTCCACTTTCTTTATTAATTATTTGTTTAATAAATGATACAGTTTCAGTAATCATTTCCTGTGATTAGACATTACAGTTTTATGGTGACCATCCCAAGGTTAATTCAAGCTAATCATTTGATAATTTATAGATATGGTCACTGACGGTATTGCCAATCTAAATTGTGTCATGAGTGTTAAACAATAAAATATGATTATCACTATTAGTAAAACTTCGATTTTATCAAACGGTTCCCCGTTTAGATTAGAAGAGAATTAAAGCGGATAAAGGCGTATTTCTCATTTTTATCGCTAAGCAATATGTGCTAACGACAAGTTGTATTAAATTTGAATAGCGTCTTTACGTAAATACAAACGCAAAAACAACAATGAGTGAAGACACAAAAGAAGAAAACTGTGATAAACATGAAGAATTCAAAGAGACTGATCCACTTAAAGATAATGTAGAAGATCCAACACGCGAAAAACAACGAAGTTTTACTGAAAACTGTGTGCATGCATTCAAAAACATAACAGTCGAGCCATCAATGTTCTTCTTCATAATACCAATGATCTTTTCAATATTGACATCGCAAAATCTTAACCTGGAAAAGGCGTGCAGAGTTAATTTAAACTTCACAGATGAAATATGTGACTCGCTCAAATTGCAGACGGTTGGTGCACAAAACGAATATGAAAAAGAAGTACAAAAACTAGTCGCAAGAGCTATGTCATGGAGAACATCAATCACTGCAACAATTCCGTGTGTTTTAGCACTATTTGTCGGTTCGTGGTCAGATAAAACTGGCTATCGGAAAATATTTTTAATTATACCCATTTTGGGCCAATTGCTTGTGTGTGCTAATGGCGTATTTCACACGTTTTACTTTAAGGAAATAGGTTTAGAAGCGTTAGTATTCAGTGAAGCTATACTTGATGGAATGTTAGGTTCTTGGTGTATATCTCTGTTAACTATGTTTTCGTTTATCAGTGCTATTACAAATGATAAGAATAGGACATTTCGTATGGGACTCATAAATTTTAGCTTGACCGTCGGCTTTCCCATAGGCATGGGTCTCAGTGGGTTGTTGTTAAAAAAGATCGGGTATTACGGATGCTACGTTTTGGCTTTTGGACTACACTTTGTTAACCTACTATACAATACATTTATATTAAAGGATCCAGAAAGGACTGTTGAACAGAAAAAGGTAAATTATAATTAAGTATACATAATTGAAATTTCTTTATTCACTCAACCATTTGTATCTATCCTTTGTCGTATTTGCTTCTTTGGCTCTTTTAACCGTTTCCAATACTACTAAAAGTTTTCGTTTGTTATATTGAATTCTCTTGTTGTTCAATATCCATGATGTTCGTAATATATTTTTTTGTTTCAGAATGATAATCAAGGTGTTTGCCATTTAGTGCGCATTTTCTTTGATCTAGGTAACTTGAGAGACACAATGAAAGTAGTATTTAAGAACGGACCAAACCATAGACGTTTTCGTGTTTGCGCTTTATTAGTCGTCGTGGCTATATTATTTGGACCCATGCATGGTAAATATATTGTTAAAAGATAATCGAGTTAATAACAATATTTTTTATATACCTGCGACAAATTACATTTGCTCGTACGGGAAAGGAATCATGTTTTGGTCCCAAAAATCGGCAACAATTGGCACAGTCTTCAGTTTTAAAAAAACAAATGCACTCTGAGACAGAAACCGCATACAGAGTTTTACCACAACTTTATTATTACCATTATAAACAGGACTATATATACTCATTTAAAATCGATAGACTAAATATTAATAATCACAATAATGTTATTAACTCTTTAGTATAGTTAATAAATCGTAATATGTCTATACTATAATAGTGTTTGTACACAAAATTAAAGCGTTATATCAAATTTCAGGTGAACTTTCAATAATGTACATATCAACAAGGTACAGATTCAACTGGACCGAGGTAATGTTCAGCATATTCCAAGCATACAACTTTGTTGCCCACACAATAGGTTTGTTAATTATTTGAGTAACAAAATTAAGCTTTGAATTCACTACATATATTACAAGCCAGTCAAACACGCGCTAATTCGCATATAGTGTTAAAAATTGTAATATTTTTTGTACTTTTTTGGTCAGTTTGTTAGTGTATAGTTCATACAAGATGTTAAACGAAGTTCATTGTTATCTTAAAATTGTATTTTACTTGTCTTCTATGAAATGGCTAACAGCACATACCAAGATGGAACCTTATAAAGGTGCTGTAGTTTATACTTAAGCAAAAATATAATTTATTAATATATAATAATAGTAATTATTGAAAACACAAATCGAAAATAAATTTTAAATGTTTGGTCCCTGTTGCCCTACCTTTAATGCTGGCAGCATTTCCTCCTCTTCCTGTCAACTTAAATCTTTAATTAGCGCCTGTATCTTATTACATTACGTATGTATTTATTTTTTATGTAATAGGAGGCAAACGGGCAGGAGGCTCACATGATGTTAAGTGATACCGCCGCCCATAGACAATTACATTGCCAGAAGGCTCGCAAGCGCGTTGCCAGCCTTTCAAGAATTGGGACGCTCTTTTCTTAAAAAATGTAATTAATAAACAAAAGAAACGAAAATTGTAATCCTAATTTTCGATTGTTATTTTTCAGGAACGATATTCTCCATCGTTGTATTCAGTAAATATTTGCAATGGCACGATTCTATATTAGGAATTATTTCAACTCTCAGTAAAATTGCTTCATCGTTTGTCTATTGTTTTGCTACGAACGAAAAAATATTCTTTATTGGTAAGTTCATTTCAATATTGGTATTATTAATAGTAGTATTAAAAATAGAAGGTTTCGGTTTAAAAACTTTTTTTATATATCTGGGGTGGAAATGTGCATGCCCAGAAAGTCGCAGGGGTATGTTGGACTCGATCCACACCAGAATCTCTGCTATTTAGAGACTTAGCAATACCCACTAAAACCACTCAGGATACAAGGCAGTGTTAGAGAGGCTTCGGGCGGAAAAGCAAAGGTTAAAGAGCAGAAAGAGCCAGGTATAAAAATATAAACTCGCTATTATGTTTTAGAAATATATCAAATGTTGATCTAAGAAGTTTGTGGTGTTTGAACCCGTGTGCCTTAGATGAGCACGTAAAAGTATCGGTCTTGTATACAAGATCAATACTTGATCCTATAGGATCTCGGGAAACTTTTCTTGTATCCCGCTAAAATTAAACTAAACATTACCGGTCTATATAGTATTCCTAACTTTCGTACTAACTGATGTGAAACTGATCTCAAATTATCGTGATTCATGTGCACTTTTTCTTTATCATGCGTCTTTTTTTAAATATTGTCCTGATCACTGTTAACATAAGTTTTAATTGCTTTGTTTTGTTCCATTAGCTTTGTCTAAATAACTATATGCCTTATGTATTTTTGCACTTCTTGCTTACCGTATCACAGTGGTTGCCTGGAAGAGATCGCTCGAAAGCGATAAGGCCGCCAGTTGCCCTCCTTTTCATTTAATTATTATATTTCTGCAACGAAATGTTAAAAAGGCAAACAAATGCAGCTTCTCTTATTTGTCAATGACTTCAATTTTCCTACTTAAAACTAAAAAAAACGGTAGTTTTTATTTGCGAAAAACTTTTGTTGGTCACTAAAACAGTATAGTTGCTAATAATAATGGTTTGAACTCTTAATAGTCAAATTATGGTATTTATTTAGCTAGTACATACTCATGTTTATACTACAAATGTAAAACAGTCGACATCACAGAGGGAATGCAAACATGAATATTTTGTTTGACAACAGTATTTTCTCAGAGGATCACTACAATTCAACTATCTTATTTGAACAGAGCAAGTGTAAAGCAAGGAAAATAGATCTCTATTTTATACGACTAATTTAATGATCAACTACAATGTTATAGAAATATCCGAGTGCTGTTATAAAAAATTTGTTGACAAATTAATTGTTTGTTTTCTTTTGTAAATTTTTAAACTTTTTTGTAGTTAAATATTTTGTATTCCATCTCTGGCTCTATTTATTATTAAATTTAGTTATTATATATAATATTTGTTAGAATTAATAGCTGATATAAATAAATAAACTTTCAGCGATTTTTGAAACACTTTTTAAAAATTACACGAAACTATCTGAATATTCATTTATTACGAACCTTCTAGATTTATGTTCGTGAGTTATATTAAATAAAGGAATAAAATAAAAACAGGCAGACAAGTACTTTTTCTTACACACAACAATAAAAACGAACTTAAGTCCATTTGTTGATCTCGACAAAAGACTCCTCTTCCATTCTGCCCCATCTCGCCCCACTTTTGACCAAACCTTGCCTACTACTAGTTTTATTTCATCTTCCCATCTTTTGTTTATATTTAGTAAACTTCTCTCCATTGCTCTTTGACAAAGTGAGTTATGTTATGGGAGTTGAAAGGAGTTCTTTAATCATTATATAATCCTGTTTGGCAGTCTATTATAATACTTTTTATATATGTATTGTATGTATTAGCAATAAATAATATTATATTTTCAGGTCCTTTAGTAGATATTCTGAACGGGACAGCTTTATTAGCATTACGATCAACTGTGTCCAAGACAGTATCAGCCGATGAATTTGGTGAGTATTAAAACGTAAATATTTTTTTTGGTCGCTTAAGTAATCTACAGCTTGTAATCTATGGTTAAAATTTGGGCTACTTATAAAAACCTTCAAGATATATGTTGTTTTAATAATCTATTTTGTATTTCAATTGCGATATACAGTATTACATACGTATAATAATAATCAAAATATATAATAAAGATTATTAAAAAGTTTGGTCCCTGTGACCTTTAACACTGGCAGCATTTCCTCGCTGAATTGCGATACTTAGTCGTTCAAATAAAGCTTTTAAGACTTTCTAACCGGATTGTGTATTATTATAAATTTACAATTATTTGACTAATTTTAAATTTAACCGATTCGTCTTTAAGGTAAATTAGAAATTTATAAAATAGATAACTTAATATTAAAAGTTTTTTTTAAAATTAAATACAATACGTTTGAAATAGCAAACGTAATAGCAAATGGCATTTATTGGAAAATGAGCTACAAAGCAACACATAAATTTCCTTTATTAATTTATCAATTATTAAAATTGACTGAAATGAGAATATTGAGAAACAATATTGCTTTATTTAATTTCAGTTTTCAATAACGACTTATTGGAAATCAAAGTTTTCTTTGATTCGTCATTTTATTAAACGATATAAATTAAGTTTACCCAGTGTAGATTATATATTTGGTTTTTGATAGATTTATATAATTAAAAATGAATCGCATAATATGCGGCTGGACCAATTCGAGTATTTTTTTATTCCTAGGACGGTTTTATAGAGAGAAAAAATTTGATTTTATTTAGTACTAAGGTTTTCATTCCATAAAAGCGATCAGTGTCTATGGGGTAGCATAGCAAAATGTTCCATACGCTAGTATGTAGCTATTAAAAAGGTAAGCTATCATATTAAGGCGAAACAATCAAGTATATTTCACAATAATGAAGTTCACGTACTAATATGAGCGTTTTTCAAGGCAGTTTGTGTCGCGCACCACCACTATGTGGAGTTGCCCACTGAAGTATTTCCAAACCAATTCGACTTAGGGTCCTTCAAGAAAAGAGCGTACCAATTCTTAAAAGGCCGGCAACGCACTCGCGAGCCCTCTGGCATTGAGAGTGTCCATGGGCGGCGATATCACTTAATCACTTAACATCAGGTGAGCCTCCTGCCCGTTTATCCCCCGGTCTATAAAAAATTAAAATAATAATAATATAATAATTAATCTTTTGTGGGAAATTACGTCATATAGAAACCAATAAATCTTAAGTTTTATATTTAAAATTCGTTTAACCTGAATGATAACATTTTTTAACAGCTTGCTGCGCATTGACATTAAATTACGCCTGGTTAAATTGCAATAATTCTTTATATTTTAATTCTTTAATACTAAAGATATAGGATTTAGTAGGAATGTGTGCTAAATGGTGGGTCTTTTAATCTTGGGAAATAAAAAGAGTTAATGCAGTACACAATTTTAAAGAAATACATTATTTTTGAAGTTATACTTCTTTAGGCGCGTTATGAAAAATTGATGAGAGTGAAATTTTACGATGCGCGCGCACCGTGACACAAAATTAACAGAATGTAGTTGCCCACGGAAGATGCTATGGCATTGGACATAATTTAAAAACAACATTCGAATAATAATATAATTTATGTGAGAATAAAAATAAATATTTATTTATTTAATTTTTCAAATATAAACTGAAAAACTGTAACTGTCATTATAGTTTATTGACTATAATGACACCTTTTCCAGTCTTTGATTATTTAATTGTAATTAATTATTTGCATGCAATCAAAAACTATTTTTAATAATGCCAAAGAAGTATAACTTCTTACGCGCGTACATAAGTACACGCACCCTTTTTTACATTACAGGCAAAGTAAACTCAATATTTGCATTAACGGAAAATCTCATGCCATTAATCTACGTACCCTTGTATACCAAAGTGTACACGGTCACTATGGAGGTACTCCCAGGCGCTGTCTTTCTTATGGGGTCAGCAATGACGCTGCCCGCGGTTTGTGTGTTTATGTAAGTATTTATAAGTAAGAGCAATTACTGCCTAATGTACGTGAATAATTTGTATGATGATTTGCTATTTTAAAGGAGTACTGAGAGTTTTTTACGCCGGCTTTTTCTCTCGACCTACACCCTCTGTCTTCTATGGCGATGAGTAGGGATGTCTACCTATTCAAATTTAATGACGTGGAATAAGTGATACATGTATCTTATATTCCATACAAAACATAATATTTTATTTACTTTTATTGTAATACATCTTTGGTTGTATAATACATTTCTCAATTATATATATACGGTGAAGAAATATGTCGAGTATTTCGACGGCCTTTGTAACAAAAGCCTGCTCATAACAATCATTGTATAAAAATGACACAATATTAACACATTATAAATCCCTGTGTTGTAGGCAGCTAGTCACACACACACATATTAAATACAGATGAACGATTAACAGTTTTAGTTTGACAGGGTTTAAAGGTGTTAACAATTTTAGTCTATATTTAGTTTTTTGAGAAAGGTTGAGATAATGACATGAAATAATCTTTTGATAGGTTAATTAATAGCTAGATTCAATTGTTTTTTCAGATGGTTGCTGTGGGAGCATAGGAGAAATCTAAGGATATCCAAGAAGAAACTAGAGGGCACTGCGGACATCAAGTAAAATATATTTACTTTTACCCATTTATCGGATAGTACATAAAACATAGAAATTACGATAATTGGCATGATGTTCTCGATATGGACGTTACGAAGATTTGGAGGAAAATCTACCCGTACCTTCTCAGAGTGGCAGAGTAATGAAGGTATCACTTAACATCCCTTTGCCCGTTTCCTACCTGTTCTATAAAATATGCAAGGGCTAATATATCCCGTATAGCGGAGTGTTATCTAATCAGAGCGTGATGACGTCATATTGGGATGAACAAAGTCAATTATTTCTCTATTATAGAAAAATCGATATTTGCGAGTCTTCATTCAATTCAATAATCTTTAACGAAATTAGTTTTTAAAATTGACAAATCCCGCTTACTATGTCGTGTTGTTTGAATATGATATTGTAGTGTATAACTATTTTAAGTTTATGAATAAATTATTTATGTTTTTAGTTTTGTTTATCTAAAATCCCACAAAAGATTAGACGACTCCATAGTCAATTACGCGATGATAACTACTTAGTTAAATTAATGCTCCAAATTTTTATATAAAATACTAGCTGACCCGGCAAACGTTGTTTTGCCATGTATATTATTTCTAGGAAAATTTTTTTAGTTCAATAAAATCTAATAATCTTCTATAATAAAAAATAGGGGTTTATCGTAGAGGGGTGACAATTAAGGGTTGTATGTATTTTTGTATGCTGTATCATAAAAAAATAAAAACAAAAAATGTTGTCTAAAAATAACAATATTTTTTTGGTGAGGACACCCCTTATCACTTAGGGGTTTAAAATAGATAGTAACCGATTCTCAGACTTACTGAATATGCATAAATTGCATAAGAATCGGTCGAGCCGTTTCGGAGGAGTATGGGAACGAACGTGACACGAGAATTTTATATATTAGATTTGTATGACTAGCTACTTATAGTTGGATAGTCAGGTCGTGCAAGTGAAGGTGAATCTATTAAAACTAAATTAAAAATCAGTGAGTTGACTAATAAGATGATATACCTACTCCGTTGGCTGACAAGGTGAGCTTGGGCCTTCGAAACTAAACACCACCTATACCGAAAGCGTGCTAACGCTTCTCAATCGGCTACTTGCAGCTCGCGCAGGTTTACCACGTCTTTCGATACACACGATATGCTTTGGCTTCACCAAATATATTGGTGTTGCTTATAAAAGATAATAGGATCATGTAAAAACAATTTAAATCTGCAAGTAATCTTGACCTATGTTCTTTCTTCGAAGCAAATTGAAATGTTTAGATATACCTTTGGCGAAGACTTCAAATTCGTTACGTACGTACATTCGTAATATTATCTAAGGCACGTGTATCCTTGACAAGTAAATACAAATCATATAGAATCTATCAATAAAGAGTAAGAAGTTTCTAAAACTTATTTAATTATAAGAAGAAGATGTTATGAAAGATTATTTGTCCATCCCTAAATGCGTTGAAAAACAAACAACAAACAAACAAAATAAGTAACAAGAATTTAAGAGATAAAACAGGGTTTGCTGACGTTGCATATAAAAAAAAGAACTAAAATGGAAATGGGATGGACATACCATAAGAGAAGCAGATAAATGTTAGCAAAATTGTAACACTATGGCAATCAAGAGTCCATAAAAGAAACAGAGGTAGGCAATCTAAAAGGTGGGCCGATGAAATCATGGAAATGGCTGGAAAGACTAAGACCTGGACGAGATTGGTATACAATAAGGAAAAAATGGAGAACAATGGGGGAGGCATTTGCCCGTAGGCACACAGAAACGGTTATCGTATATTAAGAAAAACAATAGTTATAATGTATATATTTTGTATTTCTGATATAAGGCTATAGATAAATAAATAAAAAATGCGTTGAAATCATCAAAATTCCTGTACCTTCCAGTTTTACTTTAAATGTACACTTCATTATTAAATTCATCATAATATCTCATAATCTCTTACTAGAGTAGCCAGATATGAATTGTTAGTGGAATGCTGTCCTGTTAAATTTAATTATCGTTTTTCATTGTTATGTAATGTAGTGTCAAAGACATAAATCTAATTAATGTTTAACTTCTAGATTATTTCATATATAAATAACTGCAGCCTTGACGGTAGTTAAGATTCTCTTTATCAGCAAATGTTTATGTAAACACTGAAAAGTGCAATACATGTAATCGAAAAACAAATACGGTTTTTAGCTTACTTATTTGCTTTAATCTTCATTACTCGTCTAGATGATAGACAGAACACACCAAGAAATGTGACATTGCGAAAGGATTTTAACAGTTCCGACAATGGGGAAACCAGATTTAATAGATGGGAAACCAGAAGAAAAAGAAAACGAAGAGACACCATTAAATGACACACAAAATGTTGTACCTAAAAAAAGAACGTTATTTGAAAAATTGAAAGCCATAAAGGATAATGTCACTGTAGAACCAATAATGGCATGTTACATTATGCCTAGTGTTCTAGCATCTATAGCGACACAGAATTTGAATTTAGAAAAAGCATGTCTGGTTAACTTAAATTACAGTACCGAAGTCTGCGAAGCTTTAAAAGCTAGGAAGACAGAGAACTACGAATATTATGAAAAGGAAGTACAAACACTGATCGCTAGTATACAAGCTTGGAAGAACATTATCCAAACAGCGTTTCCAGTTTTCATCATTCTATTCGTTGGAGCGTGGAGTGATAAAACTGGCAAACGAAAAGCGTGTATCCTAATGCCAATTTTTGGCGAGTTCTTAACCTGTATCGGTTTTATTATAAACACATATTTCTTTTACGAACTTCCGGCAGAGGTGGCTGCACTTACTGAGTCAATATTTCCGGCATTAACTGGTGGTTGGTATACGAATTTTATTGGTGTGTTTAGTTACATTTGTGATATAACAACAGTCGAAGAAAGAACTTATAGAGTCGGTATTGTCAACCTTTGCATGTCTTTGGGATATCCCATTGGAAGTGCCTTAAGTGGAATCCTTTTGAGAGAAATTGGGTATTATGGTATTTTTTCTATATCGGGATCACTTTATGTGTTCAGCTTACTGTATGGTATATTTTATTTAGAGGATCCTAAGCCAAAAAAGGTTGATAAAGTAAGTACAATGTTACTGGATTTAAGCGTAAACATTCAATGTTATATTTAAACAAAAATATTTTCACAGAAATACAGTGGAGTGGTTGGTTTCATTGTGGAATTTTTCGACTTCGGCTTAGTAACTGAAACGTTTAAAGTGGCTTTTAAAAAAGGAACAGGAAACAGACGCCTTCATGTTTGTCTATTGCTGTTCGTGGTTTTTGTTGTTTTCGGACCATTGCAGGGTAAATTAAATTTATTTATTTCTTAAAACCTTAGCTGCCTGAGGATTTGTATAGAATATATTGTCTATTAACATGTATATACGTATATAGATTATTCTTTATAATTTATTATTAGCAACCCTGTGTTTCAAAGTCTTCATATTATTATTCAATTGTAGCACATGATATTTAGTTTAATAGATGATAGAATATAATAATAGATGAATTTCCCCAAACTCGATAGTTATTTTTTAATATTATTATAGAGTTGTTATTCGAGTGTCGTTCATTTATATAGGTAGTATACAATCATTATTTTTTCAGGTGAATATACGATCATGTATTTATTCGTGAGATTAAGGTTTAATTGGGATGAAATGAAGTACAGTATTTGGTCAACATACAGCATCATTACGAATTTAATTGGTGAGTTTAACTGGTTGATATTCGTGACTTTGGTTGAGAATTATTAATTTCTTACCCATACATGAGTACAAGTGAGATATGTAACACTAACATTGGTTCATACATACAGAAATTCTTCTTACGTGTGTACTAGGTGTACACACGTAAGAAGTGAAACTTCTTTATGACCTTATTAGAAACTATTTCTTTAAACACAGTAAATTTTGATACACTGCCTAGCATACGATTTACAAATTAATTGCTGCAAATTGCGATTAGCAAATTTCAAGTCGAAAATGTAATCCGTTGTCAAACTTCAAAGTCAAAAACATACTATATGTCATATTTTAACGCCGATAAAGAAGTTTGACTTCAAAAAGCAACATGGCGCGTAACGGAAAAATGTGACGCGTAACGCAAAAATGTTACACTAAATTTTTTTCCAACCCCGATAAAGAAGTTTCACTTCAAAAATAGTTTACAATGAAAAGAGTGGCTTGAACGTGCGCCTCTTCAGAGGTCAGACAAAGAAGGCTGGTTTATAAACAAAACATGTGTGTGTACTTATGTACCTACAAGCATCAGAAGTTATACTTCTTTTGCGTAACAAGATAAAAATCTTAAAAAAAAAATTTTCTTTCGCCTTTATCTACGTTTGTAGAAAAAACGATACTAACAATGGAAAAAAGTTATTTAATACATTGATAGTTTTATTAAAACGCATTATCTAGTTCAATAAAGTTTATTTAAATACCACAAAAAAATTATTTCTACAGAATTAAAGAAATGGACATTTTTCATTTTAAAATGTTGACTAAGCTAACTTCAGGATGTCGGATTTTTGTGACGGTGTGCGCGCGCATCGTAAAAATTTATCATTTTCTCATCATTTTTCCCTAACGCGCCAAAAGAAATATAACTTCAAAAAAGAAATATACAGAAATCCAAAGCAAATGGTCGTAGTGCCACTAGTGTTTTAGATGTTTTTCGTTTGTAATAAATTATTGTTTTGTTTTTAGGTACCGCCTTTTCAATGAGTCTTTTTAGTAGCTACCTGAAGATTCACGACACAATTTTGGGAGCCATTTCCTGTATGAGTAAGATCGTCGCCTCTTTTGCGTATGGATTTGCGAGGAATGATCTAGAAATATATTTAGGTAAGTTATTTTTTTAATTTTTACTTTATCGGACGTCGAGGCAGAACACGAAACTCCATATCACCTCGACGTCCATCCCACAGCTGAACGTAGGCAGTTTTTGCCGCCACCACTATGTGGAACCAGCTACCCACTGAAGTATTCCAAATCAATTCGACTTAGGGACAAGAAAAGACCGTACCAATTCTTAAAGGGCTGGCAACGCACTCACAAGCCCTCTGGCATGCAAGTCCATGGGCGGCGGTATCACTTAACATCACATGAGCACCCAGTTTTAAAAAAAAATTGTATCTTAGTTAAATAAATCTGTGTTTTTTTTTAAATTGTGAATTAATGTTCCGCGTTGGTTACCATGGTTACGTATGAATAGTAACCATGGCAACTAATACTGTGCCAATTACGTAGTACTATTTATAATAAGGCCGTCAATGTATAGTAGTTTATATAAACAGTTTGATTCCCTTGCTATAGGCAATTCCTGCTCATTATTATTTTATATAAAAGTCGGTAATCATCCTTCTGTGGCTACACGTCGTTGAGCGTTTTTTAATCACAAGAAAAGAGCGTACAAATTCTCAAAAGGCCGGCAACGTACTAGCGAGCCTTCTAGAAATGTGAGTGTGTGGTGTCTGGTCACTGTATCACTTAATATGACCTCCTGCCCATTATTTAAAAAAATGTTCGGGTCTAAGATGCCCGTTTCCTCACGATGCCTTTACCCTATGCTAACTGCGGATAAGAAATTCCATTAGCGTATGGACATTAAACGCACCTCAAAGCGTAATATTCCACGCTTCCGCCACTCTTCTATTGATATTATCAACATTTATAATCAACCAATTACTCAATTTAAAATACATAATTTAACATTGAGCACTTTCGGATAACGCGGCGATAATGAATAATACTGTAAGCTCATTATTTAGACTCATTATAACGATAACCAATTAACGTACAATATACGAGTACTAACATAATAAAACACAGTGTTTTTCGTGTACGGTTTAGATGTGAGTGGCCGATTGGTGATAGATTTTTCATCCTTTTGTATACAACTTTTAAAGCTGCTTGCCAAACTGGAGTAGTACATTTTTTTTTCAGGATCAGTTGAACTAGTGCGAAAAATTAATTTTGAAAACTTGGTACGGTATAAAATGACATTTTCCTACAAGTTGGAGTGATCGGCACAGGGTTTAGGATCATAGGTTACATAAAGCACTATTCGGGATGACGTAAGAGAAAAAAAATTGGCAAAAAGTAAATATTTGTAACAACAGGAATGAAAAAACTGTCACATGGTGTACATTTTCTGGAATAAAAGGAAAATTTCCATAACTTCAAAAATACATGACTTAATTTTTTTTTTGAATTTTTCTGATAACTGTTGTGGCATTACCTATGAGAAAATTTCGACTTGACGTCGACTTTTGGGACACCCTGTATATAGGTTCAGCGACTTAATGCATCTCATAAAACCTTTTCTTCCTTTTTTTCCTTGGGGAAATGCGTTCCCACGGCACGACTGCCTTGTGGTGGAGGGTTATGTCGAACTCATTACTGTGCATACCCATTAAAACCCCACGGCGCCACCACAATCGCCCGAGGCAGGACACTTCCTTGTCCACCTCCCGCCCACGGACACCTATCCATTAATGATATGGTATGGATCTTGGCACAGCAAGGGCCATACTCACATCGGCCAATTCGCCCGGATTTATAGAGCTGCACAATGCTTGCAAGGATGCGTTAGCATCCCATCTAATAAAACTTTTGTTGTTAAAGGTTGGCGGACTCAGTTTCCGCCCTTAGACTCTCACGAGGTCCGTAGTGCGTAATTTCCTCGCTAACTAAGCCAGCCTATCTCCTTCCAGAAGCACTGAAGTCTCCTGTGAACTTCGCAAGGTTCACGGAGCGACCTCACTGCTCCGAGTATTTCTGTACGTTGTTTAGCCACAGCCTCGCATTCCAGGGCTACGGGACTGATTCCTTGGCGCTGAACAGCCTCTGCACATGACATGGGGCTGTCGCGCCTAGGACAAAAAGATGTTTATTAAGGAGACAATGGCCCGTAATTGTCTCTATCATTGTTTTGAGATTAGTTCTGTTGCTTTTTTGAAACTTTTGTTGTTGCATTTATAGTATTATTTTTCTATGTGCTATACTTTACGGCTAAAGAATATAGTATGGAGTCCATCATTTGATCCTAAAATCGCTTGCATAAGCCACGTCCTTGCCTATGAAGAAAAAACAAAAATAATGGCTTCTTTTTTTTTAGCACTATTCTTTAAATATCGAACATTCCCAATGGGTACCAAATCCGTAGGGCTCTTAATAATATTGTTGTTATGGAAATTAAAATATCCTTGACCCCGGGCACTGGTCCTAATCCTTATCTCAGTGACATAATAATCCGAATTGGATACTCAAATTTGATTAATCCCTCATCCAGATTCTACCTTGTAAATCAAACTTTGAGACAGCAATAAGTTCGAATTTCAAAAATGTTCTGTAACAAAATTGCAATTGGAACTTCATTCTATTATTGCTTTACGAAAATATATTGGTATAACCTCTTTGGTTCAATGTATCATTATTAAATATCACTCAACTAATTTGGTAGAAATACTAAGATGCCTTATGGGACTAATTACTAAGTACTAATTGGAGTGTCTGAATGTTGTGCCCGGTCTTAGTTTAAGCAATGCACAAGTGAACCGTATTTCTAAGTTAAATGTAATGCTTGCTTAAATCTAAACTTGATACAAGTTGCACTTCGTAACTTTATTGAGAAGACGTTGTAAGCTTAACAAGTTATTATAATAAGGAAACTGTGGGAGAGTTTGTCTGTCTGTAGCCAATCTCAACTACCTTAGACAACTTTCAGGTCAGGGAAATAACCAGACTAAAATTTTGAGCAGTGTTAGCACAGACTTAACACGTGTGCCATGCAAAAATCTTTTACTTCCCCATACGGAGACCTGCGTTTAAGAATAAAAATCCTGATAATAATTACCTACAACCAGCTAAACTTTTTAAGGCTATTAAACTACATAATGTTCCATAAATAAATTTTCAAAGGCTGAATTCCGTAAAAGTTTAGTTGATATATACGTTAATCTATCCGGTAGCAGTTAATCTAATATATAAAATTCCCGTGTCACAATGTTCGTTCCCAAACTCCTCCGAAACAACCGGGAGAGATTCTTATGAAATTTTTATCTGTTAATATTTTAGTACGATAAAGATCAATGTGTGTCCAATTAATTATGGTTTTATGAAAATTGAGGACGCAGAATAATCTTGGGAAAGTACACGAAAATTCTTTTCTCGAAGGCGAAGTCGTATTAGATAGGTTCTATGGGCAGTCAATATCACAAACACCGGGCATTGCCAACATCCAAATCACTCATGTAGCGCGTCCAAGTAAGTTTCAGTGTTATTTTTTGTAACTTTAAAATTTAAGGCAATAGTCAATATTTCGGTCGAGTGCTCCTCCAGAAATTAACCTGGATGGATCATACTGAGTGCTAATGAGGGCAATAAGTCTGATCGTGGAGTTCACTGGTAGGCTAGGCTTTACAAGGAAATATTACAATTTTTTGTCTGTTTCCCTCTAAAAATCTGTATTTTCGAGACTCTTAAATGTTAACATCAATACACGTTGTCAGGAGCGCTAATGTGAAAATAGAAAACAAAGAAATTCCATTACGTTCGAGGAAAAATACAAATAACAAAGTATTTTCATCTATATATAATGAAATGAACGTGTCAGTCTGTATACAAAATAATTATCTTGTGTCATAATTAAAACCAAACATACACGCGTATATACTGAAATTTTGTTTACAAATTTCAAAAGATAGACTGACCTATATATCGAAATCTAATAAACGAGACTAAAATTACATTAGCATTAAAATAACATTACATTTTTTTTTAATTTTCACATTTTATGGAGAAGGCTGTGGCTGGCTGTATTTGATACAGTTTGCGCGCCCGCTCGCCATTTTTTACGTCATTTATCATTATCCTTATAAAATATAATAACAAAAAAAAATTATTATGATCAAAGTCATCATGTCGCAGCTGATTTTTATGTAATAGGAGGCAAACGGGCAGGAGGCTCACCTGATGTTAAGTGATACCACCGCCCATGGACACTCGTATTGCCAGAAGGTTCGCAACTACGTTGCCGGCCTTTTAAGAATTAGTACGCTCTTTTCTTAAAAGACCCTTAGTCTAATTGGTTCGGAAATACTTCAGTGGGCAGCTAGTTTCACATAGTGGTGGTGCGCGGCAAAAAATGCCTTAAAAACGCTCAGTTGTGGAACGACGAACATCGAAGTATGTAGTGATACGGATGGTGTTCGACTTTTAGATTCTTTACTATTGTTTTGATTAGTTTTGAGCAGTGTTGGCCTAGTGGCTTCAGTGTGCGACTCTCATCCTTGAGGTCGTAGGTTCGATCCCCGGCTGTGTATCAATGGAATTTCTATGTGCGCATTTAACATTCGCTCGAACGGTGAAGGAGTTTTCCTTCGTGAGGAAACCGGCTTGTCCTAGACCTAAACAGTCGATGGCGTGTGTCAGGCACAGGAGGCTGATCTCCTACTTGCCTACTTACAAATGATCACGAAACCGATACAAATATCTGAGGCCCAGATCTAAATAGGTTGTAGCGTCACTGGTTTGTTTGTTTGATAAGTGTAGAGACTGGACGCGTTATATACGTTAGTACTAATCCCGCACGTTGATATTGCGACTGGCGGCCATCTTAGTGACGTAGTCGAACTGTCAGTCTCAGTACCGTGCGCAAGGTCAGCCAGCGCTTACGCGTATTGAGTACATCTACAACGTTTTTTTTATTGCTTTTTATTTTCGTTATCCTGTTTTATTTTTGTTGTTTAGTTTTTTTTATCATACTTATCCTATTAAAATGAGCAAGAAAGTAATATAAGTGGGTAATTTTATAGAAACATTTATAATTAAATACTCATAAATATATGTATATAATATAACATAAATACCTATAATATAACCCTAGATTATACACTTTTTTCACCAGAGGTGGCAACACCTCACACGACAGGAAGATTACCGATACAGATTGTTAACCTACATTCAAGCAAATAAATGAATATTATTATTGTTAAGTTTTTTGTTGTCTGTACTTTTCTACAATGGATGACGTCACGCAGCTGTTATTGTGACAAGGTTCCATCGCAATATCAACGTCCGGGGCTAGTATATAGGGGTAGACGCCTGAAACAAAAGACTGACTACTGATTCCTCAACACCAACTCTAGTCTAAGTATCACGTCTTTAGTTATAACGATACCGTATACCATTTGAAGGTTCTCTTAATATCCGTAGCGCTGAGCGTTTTGTGATTGCACGGTACGAAATACGAAGATTAAATTCAATTGAGAGTTACAGAGTACCGGGGTGCGTTGCGATCCGACTTTCCGTTTCCGTATTTAATTCTATTCCGTTTCCTTTTCCCTTGATTTAAATTTATTCTAAAACCTATTAGTTACTGAATGCCGTAACTTAAACAAACTTCAAAAAAGAAATTGCGTGCGTACAAAGCACACATGTAAGAAATGAAACTTCTTTGGCGAACTAATTTTTAAGTCTTGTTCATATTTATACAAATCTAAAACTTTAGATTTAAAAAGATGGAAAAAGGAAGATATGTTAGGAATTTAATGAATTTAATTGTCATTAAAATATTAAGTGTCGAAAAATAATACAAATTATTAATTAATTTATTTCTTCGATAATAAAAACACGAGGCATTTTAATTTAATTTTTTTACAATTCGTCATTTGAGATTTCAATTAATTATTTTGTATAAAATATAAAATACTAATATTTCATAAATTCTCTTTACGAAATTTTAATTTTAAAAATAGAATTTCTATAAGGTAATTAGCCCTTCTCACTCTCTCTCAATCGCTAACTCCCTTTTCTTTCGACAAAAACGCTGCATATCTTCGTGACGCTAATATTATTATTATTGCGATTCATCTGTAAAAACTTTACCCTCATGCGCCTAAAGAAGTTTCACTTCAATAACGGAAGGAGAAGTTTATCAATTCTACGCGTATTTATTATAATAATGAAATAACTAGAACGCTAATTTATTATTTATTTATATTATTATTAAAAATACAAGAATTTAGCATAAGGTCTGTGTTCCTTTATAATCAAATTAATAGGTACCATATCAAAATAAATTAACACTGACGCAAAGCAGGAACGATCCCTAGTCAAGTTTAAAAATAAACTGTTGATGGAATAATACTCCCATTTTATTTACGTAGAGATAAAACGGTCTTATTTTAAGTGGGTAATTGAGCGCAGACAATGTTTGATTAGATTCACTATCAGCTAACGACCTAATCTACACTTAGGTATTACAAACAAAAGGGCACTTAAAACGACTACTGCAGTTCATGATAGCGTTTAATGCAGCTTAACTATAAAATTTCGTTGGAAATTTACATGTACAAAATAAATACGCAAGACACTACACGCTTGTTAACAACTCTTAGCCACACTCTCAAATATGTATGTGGATGGGTGTGTGCGCATATACGTATATTATACACTCACGCACAAATAAAATCTTACACGATTTTTGTTTGATTAGATTTATGATTAGGACTTAGGTTTTCTTAGTGTTTTCCTATATTACATATATTCATTTTGTTTTAAACAAGCACCGTGCACCACGGAAGAACTCCAAGTAACGCACAACGCCTAGCGTTACATCAATTATGTCATAACCATATTTTATTGTCATAACCATATTATGTAGGTACTACCTACTTGGGTCACATTGCATTACCTGATAAAGTGATTTTAGAAGATAGAAATTTCTTAAACCAGTTTTATATTAAAAATTACACATTACAAAATCAGCGGAGTACAAAATTATTACTAGCGAACAGAATCGTCAAAGCCAGGCCCATTTTTTGCGTTGTAAAATGTACCTTAAAACAAATTAATGATGCGAATATTACATATTAACAAAACATTCGTTGATGCTTAACACAATATAAATGTAATCTTTATAATTTAGTTTTATCTCAGTAATTTTCCTAATCTTTACAGGAAAATTAACATTATATTATTTCTAATATAATATAAACTTTAATTATATTTAAATAAGAATTAGTATGAAATATTACTTTATCATTGTATTTAAACAAAAATTTATTCAATAAACAAGTACACTAATGTCAATTAAATTAATCTAAATTTAATTTACTACCAGTTCCAAGTCAAGGGCGTAGAGCGGGTAAGAAGAATCAAAAACTTTCCCCACTCTTTTTAATCAAGTATTGTCATACAAATTGTTTGAATGGAGCAATTCAATCCAAGATTAGGATCATTTAAGTAGTCCTCAAATTTATAAAAAGCTTTGTTGATTAATTTTCGTTTAACGAGGGCTTTGAATTTATTTAGTGATAATTCTCTAATTTCGCTTGGGAGCTTGTTGTAAAAACGAATACAATTTCCATATAAGGAGTGGTTTATCTTTTGGAGCCTGGTTGGTCGTACACTCAAATTAGTTCTATTTCGCGTATTATACTGGTGAAAGTCACCATTTGTCTAGTAATGCATAAAATCGTATACAGATATTGTTATCGTACAATCATAAACAATCTATCTTTGTTCGTGTGGATAGAGATGAACACAAATACTGTTCTGTTTCATGATCATTTGTCAATCTAATAGGCAAGTAGGTGATCAGACTCCTGTGCCTGACACACACCGTCGACATTGTTTTTCTCAAGTTGTTATCTTTGCCGTTCGAGCGAATGTTAAATGCGCACATAGAAAAAGAGTTCATTGGTGCACAGCCAGGGATTGAACCTACGACCTCAGGGATGAGAGTCGCACGCTGAAGCCACTAGACCAACACTGCTTCTTTATCTACTAAATCTTATGTTTTTAAAATCTTTATATTGTTGCATTATGAGCGAAGATTAGTACTATACTGCGCGAGTTTTATCTATATTATTTTAGTAAATATTAAAACATGTTTTTTTATATATTTCAGCACCATTATTGGAAATATTAAACGGAACTTCGTTTATTGCAATGCGATCAATTGCCACGAAACTAGTCGATGGTGAGGAATTTGGTAAGTAGTGTTACATTTTTTATATATGAGTAATTCATTCATTAAGAGTGACTTATAAAAGAATAAACGGTTGTGTGAGTAAAACACACACATATCAATGATATAAATACGAACACAATCATTTCATCAAAATCAATTTTGATTTTTTATCTGAAGTATTTCCGAACCAATGCTACTTAGAGTCCTTCAAAAAAAGAGCGTACCCCTTCTTCAAAGGCCAGCAACGCACTGACGAGATTGAGAGTGTCCATGGGTGGTATCACTTAACATGAAGTGAGCCTCCTGCCCGTTTGCCCCCTGATCTATAAAAAAAAAGAAAGAGCTAACATTTCTTTAAAAGACCGGCAACGCACTCGCGAGTCTCCTGGCAATGTGAGTGTCCATGGGCGGCGGCATCCTGCCTCCTGTTATATAAAAAAAAACAAAAATAGGCCCAACTCAGCTTTACGTTATTGTGATGACTTCATTTATTTTCACACGACTCATTTCGTATCAAAAACTTTTCTTATTATCATTAAGAATCACGTTATATCATGGTCCATTATAATTCAATACACGATTTATCTTTATAGGACTATTTAATTTGTTGTAATAAGAAAATGTTTAGACATATTTGTGGAAGAGGATGAAAAGCTTATTAAATTATAAATTCACTTTTTAATCTGGATATTACAGGCAAGGTGAACTCCTTATTCGGTCTGGCTGAGGCTATGACGCCATTACTGTATGGCCCACTATACTCCCAGGTCTACATTGCCACCCTTCATGTCTTGCCTGGAGCGGTATTCCTGCTCGGCGGATTCCTAACATTACCAGCTATCGCCATATTCGGGTAAGTAATTTCTATAACTACACGTCCAAATTCTCATTTTTTTATGTAATGGACTCTCACATTGCCATAAGGCTCGCAAGTGCACTGCCGGCCTTTATAGATAAATAAAATTCGAAAGGCGTTTGTTTGTCAAGTTTTATTGCTTAAGATGCTATTATTTACATGCTAATATATACAAAATAGGTATATGTTACTCGATTATGTTTACTTTCTCTTAATTTTCAAAATATTCCATAGAGGACAGTAAAGTTGTTAATCTCCCAGGTTTACTGATGTTTTGATTTTTGAGCACTGTTGGCCTAGTGGCTTCAGAGTGAGACTTTCATCCCTGAAGTTGTAGGTTCAATCCTCGGCTGTGCACCAATGGAGTTTCACTCTATGTGTGTATTTAACATTCGCTCGAACGGTGAAGGAAAACATCGTAAGGAAACCGGCTTGCCCTAGACCCAAAAAGTCGACGGGGTGTGTCAGGAGTCTGAACACCAGCTTGCCTATTAGATTGGCAAATGATCATGAAACAGATACAGAAATTGATTTATTGATCTAGCGCCATTGATTTATAGTTTACTGAGGTTTTATAGACTATATTATCTTAGTATGAATTCGTATTTACGGCAAAGACGTTCTAAGCCCAAAGTGAAAGCCGAAATTCAGAATGTAATAAATACAATATTGTTATTTTTTAAAAGGAAATTGCAAAAGGTTAATCGACATCACAGGAGACCGAAGAGCTGGCAGCTACCTCGGACAAAGATTTAGTGTAGCTATTCAAAGGGGGAACGCTGCCAGTATCTTCGGAACCTTGCCTAAAGGGACTCCTTTTAATAATATTATTATTAGTTATTATATTTTAAGGTTAGTTATTGTTTTTTGTAATATTGTTATTTCATAGTCGTTTCCTTTCAGTTGGCTTTATTATGAACACAGAAAAGGTGAAAGAAGAAAACATATGGAAAAGGCAGTTGACGCGGAAGATGGCCCACATAAGACTGGTGACAGTGATAATTTAAAATAATTTAAGTTTTATATAGTACTAGCTGACCCGGAAAACGTTGTTTTGCCATGTATATTATTTCGAGGAAACATTTTTTAGTTCAATAAAAATAACTATCTACTGTAATAAAAATAAAGGTTGATCGTAGAGGGGTGAAAATTAAGGGTTGTATGTATAAAAATAAAAACAAAAAATGTTGTCTGAGAAACAAAAAAAAATTAGGGGGGGTTTTCACCACCCTTAACATTCACGGGGATGAAAAATAGATGTTGTCCGATTCGTAGACATCACCGATATGCACACATAATTTCGCGAAAATCGGTCGTGCCATTTGAGAGTTTTTTTGGAGTTGAATTACAAACATCGTGACACGAGAATTTTATATATTTTATTAGGTTGTTAATTAATAAGTTTATTAAACATATATCTTTTCCGTATTTTTATTGTTGCTAAATATCGTGTTGTTATATATCACATATCATAAATAATTAATAAATTATAGTCAAATTTATAATTTTACTATAATATAGCGTCGTCCGTTATATAAAAAACCTTTAAAAATATATTTGTACGAAATAATGTTATAAAGACCACGATATTATTTGTTTTATTAGAATGGCAACACCACGGAATATCATAGACATCTTACATGGCCTAAAGGTCTAGATACCAGGCCATAAACTCAAAAAAAAAATAGACATCTTACAGGTTGTAAATTGTCCATGTGTCAAAGTCAATTTGTCAGTAGCGCGTTGAATCTGACTCGTTGAGTTCAGGGGGCTTAGTCAAAATGCCTTAACAGTAGTGTATGTAGAAAGTCCAAAGCTAAATTTGTATGAAAATGACAGTTCGTGTCGACAAAATTTCATAAAAATTTAGTAAACGTATCTTAACTAAGCCCCCAGTTGTTTGCTGATGGGCGCGCAAAAATAGTGCGCACTTCTGGCACAGCCACTATTTTATTTTAAAATAAAATCTAAATGTCGGACGTCGATAGTAATTTGGCTAATATTAATCGCTTCGAAAGACTTTGAAAATCGGCTTAGTCTTACAATGTCGGGAAATGAAAAATATGTGTTTTCACTTAAACATTTCATTGATTTCGATATAACCATGTATTCCATAAGATGCATCTATAACTTAGTTAATCTATTGTCACTATTATGTTTATTCTATTTTTCTTTAGATTTTACTTTATTTTAGTTATACATAGCTAGTGTTATGTTATTTTCTTTTCTTTTTTGTTAATTATTTATACACTTCTTGTACTTTATCCTCTATATGTGTTTCTTTTTTATTGTTCCATACTAGAGTTGCCTGGATAAAATCGCTTGTTAGCAGTAGGCCCGTTGCCTAATAACTTATATACCCTGTTTTTTATATGTATGTTTTTGTATAAAATAACAAAGTGTAAATAAATAATCAATGCATATAATCTTTGGTAGCTTAATAAAAACATATAAAATGGTAATTTAAATTACTTGCAATAGATAAAAATTATCAGACAATGTATTCGGCAAGTTTGTTAAATCAAACCACGAATTGTTTATTAATAATATAGCAATTGTAAAATACTCATTAAGAACGTAGACTTAGTTAAAAATTGTATTAATTTTATGCAAATATACTAAAAAGTCAGTGTGTTTAAGAGAGTACAATTATTTTCATTCCCTTTTCCATCCTAAGCGCGTTTTATACTAGACTTTAAATCACACCCTTGTATGATATGCTTTACTTATAATCAAAAGACAATATATGTAAATATTAACGATTTAAAAAAGATTAGATATAATTTTGTTTGTCAAACTGATTATTCCAGAACTAATCTAATCTAATTTTGACTGTTTAACTACTGACTGCGTAAAGTATGCGAAAGTCCAATTATTATTCAAGCAACACTCCAATTCATATTGAGTTTTTAGATGTATTATATAACTTCCTACCGTTCAGCTTTCAATTTAGTTCGCGTGGGTGTGGTAAACAGAGTTCTCTCATTAAATAGTCTTGATGTTAATTATTAATTATCTGCATACTAGTTTGATAAGGTAATATATGTGTTTTTAAGTATTAGTTACACCATTCGTATCACCTTGACGTCCGTCGTTCCACAACTGAGCGTTTCTTAAGGCAATTTCTCCCGCGCACCACCACTATGTGGAACCAGCTACCCATTGAAGTATTTCCCAACCAATTCGACTTAGGGACCTTCAAGAAAAGAGGCAAATTCTTAAAAGCGCGCTTGCGAGCCTTCTGGCAGGGCGAGTGTCCATGGGCGGTATCACTTAAGATCAGATAAGTCTCCTGCCCGTTTGCCTCCTGCAACACAAAAAAAAGCACGAAGTGGACGTTGAAACGCAATCTAAGGTTGAGAATACGCAAAGCTAAATAAATTCTAAATACATCACGTAAAGAGGTGCTTAGCAACAAGCTTACGACATTTATTAGAAGCTCATCATTATTTAACCCCTTTTTAATTATATTTAATGAATAAGCGAAAATTGCCTTTGTTCAAGCCTTAATGTGCAGCGATTCGTGCCTATCTTAATGAGGTTTTCAAATTTTAAAGGCTTTAGAAATAATTAACGGTCTTGGGTGAGTGATGCGCCCTGCTTACGGCTGATTCACGGAATATTCATGAATTTTTGCCATGTAGCAAAATAGCTTCATTTAGCCCGGTATTATTAAGCAAGTATACATGTATACAGCGCTGTGTTCATCAAAATCGGTAGGTAGTATATTGTATTTAAGTTTTTTGTGTTTATTATAATTATTTCGGGTTATATGAAAGTACCCTATAAGCTACAGATAATATTTATTTATTTATTTTTACATTCTAAAACAATGTGTATGCCTAAAAATACAAGAAAATATGACATCACAAATTTAACACACATATACAAACACATCAATTACATTTGAACATAAGAAATCTATCAAAGGAAAGAATTAAACAAATAACCACAAAATAAAAATAAAACAAAACAATAATGATAATAACTAAAAATTAATAATAAGAACTAAAACTAAAAAGATAAAAATAACTATAATAGAAATAAACAAAACTAAATGAAAACTTAAACCACATTAAGAGCCTGCAAAACAAAGTTACTGTAAGTTTGTAGACTGTTGTAAAACACATCAATATTTTCATCAATGTATGTTATTAAGTTGTAAGAGCGAGATATTATTCCTATTCACTGGACAATTAAAAGTAGCAGATAAGCGAGCCGTAGGTACGTATAGAAGACTTTTAGTTCGACTATACATGACTGCACGCTGACGTGTGCCGGTTTATCATGTTTGCGTTCGATTTTTTTACACCTGCCTTGCGATTCTGTAACTCACTTTTCGAACTCACACAGCGGTTTTCGCAGCGGCAGTTGCGCTCAAATCAGTCGTAAAGCAGTCATTTTACGATTTGGCATTCTGATAAGGTCCCTCCTTGTAGTTTATCGTTCATCAGAAAACCGCTGTGTGAGTTCGAAAAGTGAGTTATAGAATCGCAAGGCTGTATATAAAGTACATATAAGTACACTTAATTTAACACTATCAATTAAATATTTGTTGCCAAGTGAAACACAGTTCAGGCTTCTCGTTATTGACCCCTGGTTCGCCCGTGCTGTGTTTTGTACACATTAGTGTTTATTATTTATTTGTATGTACATTATATCTATATCTGCTGACTTAGAAGCTTAATCATAAAAAGAATACTAGAAGCAAGAGACCTTACCCGTTCGTTAAGATCACATTTACTATAGAACACAAATATTGATACATTCAACCTATGATCGAAGGCCGTATCTAAAAAGAAACAGGGATGTTGTCGGTCCAGACAATTAGAGGACTGTATTCTGAACAGACCATACGCAGAATTACACATTCATACACATTACACTCACTCATTCACTCACTAGCGTCCCATACTCACTTACATACACCCACACACTCACGCACTCGCGTGTGTTACGCATCGTAATGTTTTTGTTAAAAAAAATTGGAGAAAAAATTGCTAAACTTTTTTTTTTTTTTTTAATAATAACATTATTCAAAAAAAGATCTAACCTTGTTAAGGAATTAACTATTAAGTTTGTTATCGAGGAGCTAGAAACTCTGAAACAGGTATTTTTTACTTCAAAGGGTAACCAAATCTTGCATATTGCATGTATTGTGTAATTTTGACGTTTTCCGCGACCCTATTTTAAATGTCACATCTAGAAAAGGTCTCAAAAAATAACACTAGGACCCAATAACATTAGTATTGGTATACTTATTGGGCATAATTATTTCAACTTTAAAGTATAACAATTACAATTTTTTTTATGCTACAGGGCAAGCGGCTCATCTGATGTTAAGTGATACTCACAATGCCAGAGGGATCGTGAATGCGTTTATTGAAGGACCCTAAGCCGAATTAGTTCGGAAATACTACAGTGGGCATTTTGCACATAGTGGTGATTTACAAAAGATATCAATAACAATTATTGCACTTTTCAAAAGATAACAATACCAACGTGTTTACAATGTGTTTACAATAGTTAGTAGTTTATATACACTTTGAAACACGATATCTATCGTTATATGGAGCTAATTAAAACTGTCTATTACAGGTTTTGAACTTACTTACCTCGAAGAACTCTCATTAGAGTTGTATAAAAGTTTTTATGTTCGCCGTTCGCAGTTTCAGTCGAAGGAACCATTCCTTGAAATTGAGGGTATAAATAAATTGTATTGGCACTTTAGTTTTTCTCTTTTTGCTGGTGTTTACGAAGCTGGGCAGTTTTGATAAAGTTTATGGCGAAGGACAGTCTTTGTCGAAGTAATAAAATTCTAATTTGCTTTACGTAAAATCATTTACTTTGTCGATTGTCACTTATTTTTATTTAGGCAGCCTTTATACAAATTACAAAACCAAATGTATAATAATTTAAAAAGAATGAACGGCCTAGTAAACTATAATACTTATAAATATTGGTGTGCGTGAGTTTGTGTTTATGTGTGTGTACCTGTTTGTGCGAGGGCGA